GAGAGAAGACCCACCACCATGAGTCGCTGGTCACCGGGAAGCCTCGGTGTAGTTACAAGGATCTGGGGGAGCCCATTCCATGCCCTGTTCCCTCTTTGTGAACATAAGTTCAGAGAAACTCAGGTGCCCAGTCCATTATTCCCCTACACTGTGGAAGGGCAGCCAGTATGGGAAGTGCCTGGGATCCCACAACTGGCTTGTTTGGAGGAACCCAGGAGAATGTCAAGATGAAAACGCAAAAGATAATCTCAGACATTCCAGCCCACACAGAACAAGTCTGGAGATATAGTCATGGAAGAAAATGGAATTACACACCTGAAGTCTCCAAGAGGATAGCGACTAAAGTAAAGAAACAACTTCATAAGACAATAAAAGTAAGCAGATTAAAAATAATGTCTCAGCTAAAAGAAGAAATCACAGCCTAATGAAAAAATTGCTAAGCATATGCAAAGAAGAAATCAATAAAAAAGAGGAGCATAGGAAAATGATGGAAACCTCTAATGGACAATATAGGGAGGAATTACAATGCATGAAAGAGCAAAGAGATATCCAGGAAATTAAAAAGTTAATCAAAAGCTGGCAAAATTGGAGCTGGGGACATAGTGCTCAGTGACCCAGTGCCTGCCTGGCAAGCACAAGGTCTTGACTTTGATCCCCAGTATCAAGTAAAATCTTCTCCATAAAATTACTAAGAACACTAGCAAAAATCAAAAGAATCAATTTAAAAAAGCTGACAAAGTCGCTTAAAAGAGACTGATGATAGACTTTCAGATATTGAAGATAGGATCACAGCTCATGATTGGGAAAGGAAAGATTTCTTAAAAAGAACAAGGAACCAGGAAATAATAATTCAATGATCACAAGACAATGCAAAGAAAAATAATTTAAGAGTTATAGATATTAGCAAAAGTGGGCAGCTATTTTAAAGAAAATGAGAATTTATGGTAGCCATCGTTAATTTCCTATCTTCTTGCTTTGAAGTCCTATAATGCTTTCACTCTTTTGTGTTGGTTGGTTCTATTCTATTTTGTTCTATTCGATTTTTTTATTAAATGTGATTGTATGGACAGGTATTTTGAAGAAAACCATAGAGATTATGGTAACCATTATGCATTTCCTACTTTGTTTTGAAGTCCTATAATGTTTTTATTCTCTTGTTTTGATTGGTTTTAGTCAATTTTGTGTCATGTGCTTTTATTATGTGTGAGGGTATGGGCAGATATTTTGAAGAAAACAGTTATGGTACCCATTATTGATTTCCTGGTGTCTTGTTTAAAAGTCCTGTTTTGCTTGCATTGTTCTGTTCTTATTTGCTTTATTCTGTTTTGCTTTGTTTTATGCTCTTTAAAATAAAAAAATCTATCAAAAATATGTACATAGAACATATGAACTGATAAACTTCAATAAGAAGTAGCTAGGCCATCCTCTAGGGTTTAGCATATTTGTGCAGACCTTTTACAGAAGAAGAAAAATAAGTGGAAAATCAGCTTATTAAAAACCATTGAGCACAAATGAGATATCACAAAATATACATTAGAATGGATAAAATTAAAAAGATAGATAGCATCACGTACTAGTGGTGGTGCAGTGTAACTGGAGCTCTTAGACAATGGGAGAAAAGAAAAACGCCACAGACACTTTAAACAAGTTCAGTAATTTCTTAAAAAGTTACCCACACCTCGGTATGATCCTCCTTGTGTATTCCTGTGTATTTATTCAAGAGAGATAAAATTTAGGTCCCCATAAATATTCTGATATAAATAATCATAGCAACTTTACATTCATAGATAAACACAAGAAATGATTAATTCATTGTCCATCAACCGTGGATTGATAAAGACAGTTGCCATATCCATTCAGGGTGTGTGACTCAGGAATTAAAGGGAATAAATTACTGGTTCAACAACGTGAAAAACCTGTCACCATTCCGAGTGGAAGAAGCAAGTGCAAAATAGCACGCACCGTAGGATTCCATTCATACTATGTTCCAGGAAAGGAAACATTTGTACGGACAATGAGCAAACCATCTGCTCTTTGCTTGGTTCTGAGCCAACAGAACTGCAAGGAGCTGAGGAAGGTGGAGGGTGAGGAATGCTCCATGCTCTGATTTCAGTGGTGCACTCACAGTGGGTGCACTCACGGTGAGTTCACTGCTGACTTCAAGTCACCAAGCTCCACACCCAAGTGAATGCAGCTTACTGTACACAAATCAGACCCCATTGAAGTGGTTTTCAAAAGGAAGTGATGAAAAGAACACTTTCTTCCCAGATATCGACCCAAATCCTCTGAATTCCTGAAGAAGCCTGAGTTGGTGTCACTTTCTTAGAATTTACTTTGGGCCTGAACTTTGATGGTGATGAAGACAAGAACCAGGCCCTCAGCTGCCCCCCACACAGGGAAAACTGACTGAGCCAGCAGACTTCGTTGCCTCCGTCCACGCCGCTGCAAGGTGGACCCTAAGGTCAAGTTAGAGCTGTTCATGTAGGTAGCAACTTGATTTTCTTCTGTGTACCTTGTGCTCATGTTTAGTGTGTTAAAATCAGAAGGGTGTGTGTGTGTGTGTGTGTGTGTGTGTGTGTGTGTGTGTGTGTGTTTGTGTGTGTGTGTGTATGTGTGAGAGAGAGAGACAGAGACAGAGACAGAGACAGACAGAGAGAGAGAGAGAAAGACAGAAAGAGAGACAGAGAGACAGAGACATAGACAGAGACAAAATAAGAGAGACAGGGACCGACCAAAGACTGAGCGTGCTTATGAAACGGTAGCTACTGTCTAGTAAAAATGATCTGACGGATGAAGCTAGGTTACCCTTTAAAACTATCCAGTTCTCTTCAGAGAAAGAGAATTACAATTTGTCAAACTTAGGGACAAACAAAAGTAAATTGACCGCTTACTGTGACTCACAATTTTATAATTTGCAATGAAGCTGAACTTAAATCTTGGAATATTTGAACACTGAATGCTAAAATCAGTCTTCAATAGAATAATACAGAAAATAAGAATAACAGAGGGCAAAAAGAGGGGAAAATCAACGCAGGCACCAAGACCGTGGAACCAGCCAGACGTGGAGTGGGGAGCAAACAGCCCAGGAGGCACTGACAGCGAGCCGTGCGGACTAAGATTCCTGCATGTGAAGAAGACTTTCTCCGAACTTTCTCCTTGTAGCTGTTTTCAGATCGGTCTTCAAGCAGAAACAAGCAGCCTTTGCTATTCCCTGGTGCCTTCCTACTTCTTTACTTCCCAGTCTTTTATTATATTGCATAACGGTTATTTGTTGTGCATCTTCATTAATAAAACTTTCATCTCTGTGGGTCAGAAGTCCCTCCTCCCCTCCCTACTCCTCCCCTCTCTTCCTTCCTTCCAACCTTTTCTTCTATCTTCTGTGTGCCTGACACAGAGGAAACTCAGTAAGTTTCTTTATTTTATGAAGAAAAGTAAACAAAATTTCAAAACCAAACAATAAGAGGGTAATAATAGTCGTCACACGGTGTATTTTTCTAAACAGCAGTAGCCAACTTTCTTCTAGAAAATAAAAATTAAGGGAGAAAGTAACTCTGCAGAGCAAGATTGGGACAAGTAAAAGACAAAAACCCAACACAAGGGGGGCAGCTGCCCAGGAAAAGCAGGCAGGCTGCTGTGACATAAGTGTCACTAGCCTATGTTGTATATTGCTATCTTTAAAGTAATTACTCAGGGTACGAGACATAAATAGAGATTCTCAACTGAATGATTAATGACGTATGTTCCATATTCATAACACACATATATTCATTACATATCGTTCCAGACATATTAAACTGTGCTTTACTGTCAGTTCATCTAACTGCTTTTGTGCAACTAATCATCTTTATGTAATACACAATTTTACAGTAGATGTAAATTTTACTACCTGCTAGCAAGGTTAATTAATCTTACAGTGCTACTTTTTAACTGAAAATTAATGTTTCCTTTTTCTGTAGTCTTACTTCCGAGCTTATTTGAACAACTTTGATAATTTTAATGTATTATTCCTACTTTCTTCGAATATAGCAGGGTCCAGTTTGTCATCACTGAGCTTTCTGATAATTTTGAAGTTAGTATAAAATTAAACTGTCACAAAATCAGGGCATTGGCAAAAGTCAAGACAGAATATATCAGTTGCATTCAGTTTATCTGGCATTGATTCTTGACTTGAAAAATGATCAAAATAAGTTGCTTATTTAATTGTTCAAATTTAAAGTCCAGTCATGGGAAAACTGTAATATGCCAGTTGTCATATGTAATTCTTTCTAAATCAAGAATGCTTTGTAACTTTTTTGAAGTCAAAAGAATCTTCCATAAAAATTAGTAGCTGTCATATATGAATGTTCTTATAAAACAGCTTTTATTTATAACTGTACCAATGAGAGTTGTCTCACTTCTTTCTTGAGTTATTTCAAGAAATCAGGAGTGATAGATAACAGACAGAACGACAGGCGAGGGATATAATTAAAATCTTAACCTGTTCCAGCTGCTTAAATCAGTGAGATGCATCCTTTTCTTTCTTTATCTGCATCTAAAAAACTTCAATTAACTCAAATTACTTTTGTGATTCCTTCATCTCATAAAGATTAAATTATGGATATTACTCATGTTTTAAGTCTTAAGTTAGAATTTATAACCTTGTGTTTCCTATATAAATACATACAAAATGTATAAGGGAACTCAAATCTGTGTAAAAGAAACTACGATGTAAGAAATTATAGGTACCATGCAAAGGTGAGAGATTTTAAAAATCATGTTAATACTTTTTCCAGTACACCTGATTTAGACAAACATAGCCAACTAACTTTTTGACACTGACACTGGAATAATAGAGATATACTAAACTAAATTAATATTTTAAGTTCTTTTTCACGCTCTTTCTGTCAAGTTGGCCACCTTCACATTAACAAATGACCAGTGAAAGTTGCCCAGCAGGAAATCTTGGAGTAGTCTTTCATGCTTCTCTTTCCCCTCTTGTTCTCCCTCTGGCACATCCATAGGTTAACAGAAGCTGCTTGTTCCAGCTGCAAAGAGAATCCCCAGCCCAGACTCCAGTGCCTGCTCTCAGCAGGACACTCCTGACACCTGCAGCCCCTCCCCAGTTCCTGGAAGCTGTCTCTGTAGAGCATCCAATTTCTAAAAGGTAAATCAGCTCATGTTGCTTCTCCACCGAAAAGTTCTGTGACTTTCCATTGTTCTGGAAAAAAGTCCTCCCCGTGGCTGCAGCAAACGTTTTACTGGACTGTGATACTCTGAGTGATGTGACACTCCCTCTCCACATCCTTTCACCTTGTGCTCAAACTGGCTTCCAATCAACTTCTCTAATAGAAGAACTTTTCATTCTCGAGGTCTTTGCATTTGTTATTCCCTGCTCCTATAATATTCTTTCTAGACTCCTTATGACTGTACTGTTTCCCTACCTTTATGTTAGATTAAACCAGACACAAAGGAGAACAGTAGCAGGGGACCAGGAGCAAACTCTATATAAAGTTCAGTCATTCTTCTAGGCGGCAGGAGATACACATTCATGTACATGTGTACACACACACATGCATGCACGCACATTGACACTCCTCACATTGTAGGCTCCATCCTGGTAAATCCACTATAAATTGAAAGCATTGTGGCAAAAATGAATTTAACACCCCCAATCTATAGTCCATCCTACCTTGTACAATACACTGTAAAGTATCAGTTATTCATCTTCATGATCACGTGGCTGACTTGGTTTGTGTCTGGCTGTATCACAAGAATTGTATTATATATTGGTATCTCAAGGTAATATCAAATTTCAAAATTCAAAGTATAGTTTATAGTGAATGCATAACTTTTACACACTACTATAAAGTCAAAAAATCATAAATGAAAATAGGGACTGGTGTGTGCATGCATGCATGTGCATGCGTGTGTGTGTGTACTATATCACATTCTATTCCCCCAAACTAAGTGTAACAGTAAAGATCAACATATTGCTTTACACTAGCAAAAAGAGCTTCATTATGTTCATATGACCAAAGTACCTGTAAGGCTGCCATACGGTTCTGTATGCATTTTTCCCCCTATGGGTGACCTAATTGATAGGTTAATCAATGCTATAAAGAATTGTAAATCCCTAAAAACCTAACCTAATTGATATGTTAACCATTGTTGTCCTCTGCAAATAACAGATGTGGTACTAAAATAAGCTGACAAAAGAGTGTTAATAACTGCCAGACTTTTCTGTTCTCTGCTAAGGGAAACAAAGGTCTTCCTTCATAACCCCTTACTTTATAAACTGTGATATGTACATAAAGGCTGCAAGATTGGAAAGAGAAACACAGCTTTTGCAAATTCCAACTGCACTGTGTCGCTGGGCCCAGGATAAAATAAATCAGCGTTGCTTTTTTAAAATATGTTTTTGCCTCATTTTTGAACTCGAGTTTGGGGGCTCATTTGTGGATTACAAGACATGTGCCCTAAAAAGCTCTTTTAAACCACATTATGAAATAAAGAATATTTTCTTGTTAACTTGAGTCCAACAAGATATTCACTTAAGTAAAAAAAATGAGAGTCTCCTAACTAACTGTAATTTATTGCTGAAAATGTGGAAGACTGTTTTGATGATGTAAGAATCCAAAGACACATTGTGATCATGGATGGATTTGCTGTTCACTCATTCTGCCAACAGAGTTCACACATCTAGACTAATACATATGCTTATAACATACATCCATGTTCACAAAAAATTATCAATAATCTAGCCATGCTTACCTAACTTTCATAATTAGATGGTTTTTAAGGATTTAAAGTGAAATATGCATGCATACTGAATTTATTTGATATGAAGTAAATTACAGACATTTTAAAATAAAACATTGGATACTATGTGGTTCTATGTGCCTAGAAAGTAGTGGTTGATTTTGAATGCAGTTTATGATTCAAAGAGAGACATGTAAATTGTATGTGGCAATTTTTCAACATTTAATAATAGTTTTCAGATGAATTTTATATTAATGATATCAGCATATTATTTTAAAGAATGTTATAAATTTCGGTCAGGTATGCATATATTACTTCAAGAAATCTTAATTTGTTATATTGCTGTGATGGTCTCTGAATGAGATTGTTAAACACTCTGTTTATCATATTATATTCCTTAACCTTAGAAAAAAAGATTTTCCTGAGCTAAATTTCCAAGTGTTAAAAGAGACTTTATTATTTACTTAATGAATGCCAAAATAATTATCATTAAAATTTTAATAAACCACATTTACACACATATCAGAAATAATTTCTTCCCAAACCACAAGTAGCCATCCTACTGGAAATGGTGGAATAAAGATTTTTTATTCCTGTTCTTTGTTAAAATAAAGACAGGGCTGGGCATGGTGGTGCACGCCTGTAATCCCAGCACCTGGGAGGTTGAGGAAGGAGAATTGAAGCAAGTTCAAGACCAGCCTGGGCTACAAAGTGAGCTCATGGCCAGTTTGAACCGCACAGTGTAACCCTGTCTCAAAAAGACAAAAATAAATACATAAACATATCAATAAAAAATAAATGCAGGATGTGGACTACTGAGAGCAGAGTAGAAGTCAGAAGCAGAGCTGGAAGAGAGAAGCGGGTATCCACACTCTGCAGTGAAAATAGCAACAGTGATAAAATTTCCCAGTAAGTGTTAATTCCCAGGAATACTTTCCCTGCCTCGGACCTATTTAAAAACAAACAGCAAGTAAAGAAAATGGTTTACATGTTAGCAGACAATTCTGATAGTGTCTTTCTTAAAGCATGTAGCTTGAAATGTAACTAACACTTGAGTTATAACTAGTTCTTAAAGTTTCTAAGTAACATTATGGGTTTGGAAAGGGGTAGTCAGTTGTGGACAGTCTTTAACTTATTCCTGATGGCACTTTGATATGTCAGTCAATTATAAATATTTTTGGATGAAACTTCTGGCTATTCTGATGGTATCAAGTGAAAACTTAGAGTCATTCAAATATGTCTATGAATCACTGAATCCTGAATACATTGTTAAATTACACCTGTTTTGTAATAGGTGGAATCCTGACTCAGATTTAATGTTTTTGTGCTCCAACATGCACATCTACTATGTGGAGTAATAAGTATTAACCATCTCCAATCCCCAGTAAATCTATGAAGACAAGGGATACTGTACACAGAAATCCCAAAGGAGGGGAACTATGTAACTCAAAATTAACTGAGTAATCTACAAATTCTGAAATTTATCTTCAATCACAAATTTTATTTATTAAGAAAAATGCGAAGACAGATTTTTCTGTTTTACAAAATGTCCATAAAATTTACCCCCCATCCAAAGTGAGCGAAGTCTCTTTATACTTCTTGAAAGATAGTTAGATGCCGATGGAAGGCCCCTTTTCCTTCTAAATGAAGAGGAAAAACAACTTCCTGATTACAGAGAAGCTGCTGTATGCGTCTAGTTCATAGTTATGTAACACATACGCATTATCTATACACCCACAAGTAAGTATGACCTAGGGACTAAAAGGAAAGGTTCTGGTCTTCATAAGAACTGTTTCTTGTAATTTTTCAGTCATGCTACTGGTACAAGGAAGTGTCCTGGACCGATAGGCCAGCTCGTTCTCCAGTCCGCTCTCCTTTGACCATGCTCTGTGTCCCCTTCTTGGACTATGAATTTTTGATAAACGTAATTTACTGATAATAAAGGTGGTCCTAATTATTTCTGTTAGCTCTTGCATTTTGATGCAAGGGAAACATTATACTAAGAAGTATGATGCAACACATAAACTCACATAAACTTAATTTATTGCACATATGTAGAATCATGGACCTGTTAGTATACATGTACGTCAAGAATGCATTGAATATTAGGAAAGATAACTGTATAATGAGTTCATAATGCCAGTTGCACTAGATTTAAAAGAAAAAAAGTAATACTGTGTTGTGTTCTGTGCTCCTACCTCAGAAGCATGAAATATTAATCAAAAGACAAAAGACAAAAACCAGACATAGTTTGAAGTCAAATATCACATACATCATTATGACTGAAAAGAAGAAATTATAATTAAGTTAAAAATACCTATGACTAACTTAAAAGGTGACAATGCATTAAGTTGAGAAATATGGCAAATATGGTAAAGGGAATATTTATAGTTTTAAACTTATTTTAAAGGGAAGAAACAAAGAGAAACAAGGCAGAAAAACCAGCAATTTAAAAAAAAATAGGAACAATACACATCTAAAAGTGAGAAACAGCAATGCTATAAAATTGTACTCTGAGAATGTAAATGAAATATGAGTTCATAAAAATAATAAATATGGTATAAACTAAAATTGAGATGAAAATGGAGACATATAACTATCTGACCAAAGTTTAAAAACCATACATTGCCCACAAATTTAAAACTGTGTTGACTCTCGTAATCCTGGTGGTATTGCTATTTGACTTAAGTATCTCTTGCTTGTAGTGTGTGTGTGTGTGTGTGTGTGTGTGTGTGTGTGTGTGTGTGTGTGTTGGGTGCCAGTGGGGCAAAAGACGTCTGTATATTTTATAGTGTTTAGCAGCAATGTTGACCTTTGCCCACTAATTGACAATAGTATCCCTTCCATGCACACATTTGCCTACAGATGTACCCGAATGTTTCCTAGGGGGAAAAATTCACAGGATATTGATCTCTTGTTCTAGAATTTCTTCCTTAATTTCTGTGATTTGCATGAATATTTTCTGTTTTACTTGTTATTGTGATATCTACAATTCTCTTCTCATGCCTAATCACTATTTTCTCTCGTATAATTCTCAATAGACAGAACAGGCTTTTGGAATTTGTCTTTTAACAATTTAGTAATCCTTAGGATAGGCTTGCAGCTCAGTAGGAGAGTCAGAAGAACAATGGAGTTACAGGATTCTTTTGGAGGTTATATTAGTTAGCATGCAGAGTGCGTGACTCAGAACTTTGGGTACTGGATAGTTAATTAGCTATCCTGCCTCTTATGGCATCTCATGGTTTTGTGTCCAGTCTGAGTCAATCCCAGCCAAAGATGTGAAAAGGGACATTTCTGAGTACATAGCAGACATCCTCATTTTGCATGTCAAGCTAACTAAGAATGCTAAGCACGGTGCCAACTCTTCTCTGCAGAAACAGCCAGGAGGAGGTAGGATTGAGTGGAACCCTAATGTCTGTCTCAGAGTCCCCTGTCTTTGGCCTCGGTGCCTCCCTCTACTACACCAAAAAACCAAATAATTGTATGTGCTTACCTCCTACACATGTGACCTGAGAATTCTGGATGAGTACTTAGTAATTTAAACAGTTCTCAAACAAAATTTTCTGCTATCTTGTCGTTTCATACTCTAGCATGTCACCTGATTTCTGG